TGCTTTTCAGACACACTTTCTATTAAAGGAAAACTGCAAGATGTCACTAAACCTGCCAACAAAAGTAAAGAAGAGGTATGTTCCTAAATCCTTTGCTCTTCAAAGAGAGCTGCAGCTTTTAATCTATTCTATAAACTTCACAGACAGTGAAGTTTAAGGGAAATGTATCTTTCTTAATGTTAAACACTATATATAATGTTTACTGGGGACCTGCTTGGAAAATCCTGCTAGGTAATTTTTAAATATTTAAGATAAATTTTTAAATATTTAAGATAAATTAGGAAATTATTTATCTGATGGATACAAGGAAAAAAATGTATCCCAACAAGATCGATTATAATTAATATCTTAAAAAATAACAGGGAGTAAATATTTTCTTCTTGACTTTCAATAAAAAGCAAACATTTTTTCACAAATTAAAGAATTGAGACATCTGCATGGAAAAACTCTTGAGGTGAAAAAGTGCTCTCATAGTTTTAGCATGAATTTGCTACTCAATATAACAACTATTGTAGCATTGGCAAATAAACAAAAACTGCTGTAGACCTTCAAACCGCATGTTTAAGTACATTTGTTCTTGAAAAAAGCACCAATGACTCCTTCAAGAAATGGTTTTGTCTGTGTGCTGTTGCAAGAAACATTTAGACCTTATTGGTCATTTGACTTATTGCTGCCATTAATTAAGGTGGTTAAGAATTTGTTTATTCTTTCATCTAGTGAGACCTGATAGTAATTCATGCAGTGATTTTATTTTTTTTTAATTTATTTTTCTTATGATAGTTGTGTTTGTGTCCCTGGTTTAATGAAAAGCAACATAAATGTGGATTTCTGATGAAAACTTCTGAAAGTGCTTTAATTTGGAAGCTAATAAGTCAGTGACTTTTCCTTTAGGGTTGTGCACCGCCATCTCCATCGTCTGCTTCCAGTGAAAGTAAAGTACAGTCTTGGAGTGAAGAACCTTATGGCCCCATTCATGAGTCAGGTACAAACATTTAATAAACTTGCTATGTGTCTCCATAAAGGTTAAGAAAAATGTTTATTTGGCATAAAAACATGGCCCAAGTCTTTTAATCTTTTCTTGTATATATTTTCAGTATTATTCCATTTTTATGCTTTTTCTCATTTTCTCTGCTGTTTTAATTACCCTGAAAAAAGCCAAAAATTTGGCTCCAAAATGCAGTTACTGTAAAGAGTTAGTTACACTCTTAAGAAAAGACTTAGAAGCATTCCCTCTGATACTGGGAAAAAAGTGGGGATAATGGTATTATCAGGAAAAGAGGGCATAAGGTGAATCTCATTCATGAGCGAGTCTTGTGTGAATTCTGTTGAAATCCTGTTGTTAATTTCCATCAATTTCTCATATCTACTGAACATGCCCTCCATAAGTGCAATGCCTAATTTTTATATAGTTCTTGAGCTTTAAAGCCAAGACACATATTCCTAAATTTGGATCCAATAGGTCAATAAACTCTTCTTTATCCTCCTGTGTTGTTGTTCTAAATAATTCTAAAATTAAGCATGGTTTTCATGTTTATTAAAGGGCCAACTATACAGACATTTCTCAAACGAAGGTACCGCAGCGATACAGAAAGCAATTCTGATGAGGCAGAAACAAGCAAAAAGAAGGAAAAGGAAAGAAACAGAGGAACAAAATTACAGCCTAGAAAATTATTTAAAACAGATGATGCTGTTACTTACAGAGGTTGGTTATGGAGGGAAAGTTGACTATGGTTGTGCAAAAGTTTAAAATAACATACCAAATTAAAGTTTTAGCAAAAGAAATATCTATAAAAAAGCATTTTACGTGTTTAAAAAAAGAAATAAAACTATATCCATTTAAAAAGTCAGAAAATTGATACAAAAATAGAAACTGGTCTCAGCCATTTAATTGGTGAAATTAGTCTCTATATGGCAAAGGCTGTTCTAGGCCCTGTTGTAACTCCGCATAGGATACTTTCTTATACTGATTTCTGACATTATCCTTTTTTTACTCCTTTCCAGTGTCTGAAAGCGTATCTACTACATCTGTAAATGAGCTCTCTGTTTTGGATGGGGAAATCTGGGAACCTGGTTGTTCGACTATCAGTATATGTCAGAAGCTCCAGAAAGAATTTACTAAGAAAATTGAGGCAAGACATTTCACACACAATATTAGCTGTCTGTGTGGGTACATGGGCATGTGATTGACAGCTTGTCTTACACCACAGGATGTGCTTAAAAGGACATGAAAATGGCTACATGCATAGAATGGCAAGAAATGACAGAAATCAACTGTCTTTTTATGCCTTTTTCAATTCCTTTATGTACCTGACTGCCAAATGATTTTCTTTCCCAGGCCTATTTATTTTCTCTCTCATCTGTTTTTCAAAACAAGCTTATGTATCTAAAGTAATGAGCATAATGCATTTTGATTTTTTTCAAATTATCAAACCCATGAATTAAATTTATTTGTAAAAGGAAAGCATGACCCTGAGTAAGGCATTTGTTTATCTAAGGCAGCTGTAAGCACACATCCTTCATTCCATGTGTACTTTCTCCATTTTGAGGAAATATATTTTTCAAATAATGTACTTCTAATTAAATTAGGTAGAATTTTATCAGAAACATAAACCTATGTTTATTTACATTTCATGAACAGACAGCTTTTCCTTAAAGAAGAGGAAGATGATAAAAAAAAAGGTTTTTTGCTCAGTGTGATCTGTGACACTAAGCAATTACAGTACTAAACATACTACAGGTGGTTTTTTTTCCTGAAGTGAAAATAATCTGAATTTAATCTTAAAACATCCTCATAGAGCCGCTCACAGAAAATGGATCATTTTAATAAGCAATCATTAAGAGCTGCCCATCAGCATTTGACAACAATGAGTTACCAGCTTCATGAATGCAGGTCTGTAATGAAAGATTTTTTTTTTTTTAAACCACCCTTAAAGTGCAATGAATACCTTCTAAAAGAAACTCATTTTGTTTTGGTAGGATCAGGCAGCTGGACAAATTTCATTTTGCCCTCCTTGAGGAACTTGAGAATTTTGAAAAAGATTCTCAGTCCCTGAAAAACATGGAAAAAGAATTCTCGGTTTGTATTTTAATTGCTTGATCATGGAGAAAAACAAATTCTCGTGGAATCCGTAGATTATTCATATCATCTTTAACTTTAGCTCATTGAGTCTGCTTTAAAAAGCCTTTATTTTGCTTAAAGTTGAGTCAAATTTCAAATGATGAATTTGAGGTGTGAGGACTGGCTAATGCTGTGCTCTTAGAATTTCCAGATCACCACTATGTTTCTCTCCCTGGAATAAATCACTACCACTGCTTTTAGTGGGCTGTTCCCTCACTTCAGGAGCCCTTTTCTCAGCTGGCCTGTGTTTCAGGAGCAGCGCGTGGCATTTGCACCGGAATTGCTGTGTGTTCCATGACAGGCCAGTTGACGTTATGGGTCTGCTGCTTGCTATAACGTAAAAATCAATAGACAAATTTTCGTGTGAACACAAATCTATAATCACTGTTTTCTTTTACGCCGAAGGCACGGCTTAAATTATATGGGAAGCCTGATTAAAATATTATGCGTGTTCTTTTTCATCGTTTTGAAACCTTATGCAGAACAAATTTTTTTGGTGAAACTGGTTCCATGAAATTAGAATTCCTGAAGTGCCTCATCCTGGCAGTTAAGCTTATTATATTTTTTTTTTCAAGCTTCTGTGCTGACTTTGTAACTTTTACACGTTCTGTGCTGAGTCTGTGGTTGTAGATTATTTTATTCATATTCGATATTAGTCAGCTTTAGTTCAGAAAATATTAGTTCCTACTGATTATCATCTATTAATATTTTTCTTTCCAGGCCTTTTGGAAAAAACATACACATACTTTCAGTACATACATGAAAAACGAGAAACAGAGGTTAGTAGGCTTCGTTAGTCCCAGGGTGAGATTTGTGTTCTGCTCATTTGAGGTGAAAGTTAGGCTAACGACTACTCTCTGTGCAAATTGTCTCTTCCATGAAATAGAGATGGTAGATGAGTTGAGAAAAGGAGATTAAAATATTATGATACAGGAAAAATGTCATTATTCTGCATCTAAATTCCTCCATATACCCGAGGGACTATTCTGGCAGTAGCAATGATGGTTGTATTCATCTGTGCTCTTAAGTACAAAGAGACTTCAAACAATGGGAGGTATTCATGATGTGGGGAAAGTTCATACGTAGCAAAGCTGTTTGAACTGCCTTTTATTTCTTTAGAGTTCAGATTCTTAAAACTTCATTTGAAAAGAACATCTACCATACTGTCGACTATGAAGAACATATTTTTACTTCAGAGGTATGATGAAATTTTGCTTCTTTCTGGTTTTTAATAATTCTTCAATTTTACCAACAGATAGCAGTATTGACTTTTTTTTCCAAAGAAAGTCTTTATCCTCAGCATTGTACTAATGTCACATAAGTGTTTTTATAGGTTTTCATTGTCATAAAATATCTTTTAATATAACAACATTCAGTGGTTTAGGCCTAGACTTCGCCCATTAGAAGGTGTGTGCAGTTATCTGGGAAACTTGCAAGATTTATTCTGTGGCTTTGTTTACAAGGGTTATCATCCAAGAAAGAACAAATTTAAAACACGCTTCCCTTTCCTTAGGCAGGTGGATGCCTAATGGCAGATGTCTTGGTTATAAACTGTTTAGGGATGTAATTGTCCTCTAGAAAATGGGTTACCAATTATAAGTAGCAAAGATGCATTCGTTATCTTCTTATAGATGCATCTGATGAAAGAAGACCTAAAAGGACTCCAAGAGAAACTTCTCAAAGAAATGGTAAATTAACTTATTTTGTCCTCATTTTTATTTATTGTTTAAGTATAGCTGTTTCAACTCTGTATTACTAAAACTTGTAATTCCTAGTCCCCTGTCAAAAATAAAAATGAGTCAGAATCCAGGTATCACTGACATGTTACACTTCAAACCTTATCTGGGTGAGAAAAGTGGACATACTGTTGTAGTTCTGAGTCTTCGTATGTTGAATGTTGACATGAAAGAGGAAGGTACCGTGTCTGATATGTTGAAAGCAGCACACACTATGCACCATAATTACAATATTTCAAATAAAATCTTCCCTTTTTTTAAGTGTGTGATAAATGTAATTGTGATGCTTTTTGCACAGCAAGAAGAGGAACTGTGTAACGTGCGCAGAGGATTGCAGACATTGTTTCAATCAGAAGATGGAATTCTGAAGTAACGTTTTCAGAGACCTGCCTGAAATTCAAGGTGAATATAAAACACTGTTTTATAATGTAAAATTTGACAACCTTTTTTTTTTTTTTTTCACTCAAGGAAACTATTGTAAGGAAAGTATATTTTCCATAATACTATTGAAATCTTTGTGGATAAAACTTATTTTATATGTGAGATTTGGAATTATTTTGCTGAATCTGCTAAAATGCAACATGTAAATTTTTGGATTTTTAGCACATGCTATTTTTTAAGAAGTCTTTAACAATCTTTATAGGTTGTTTAACTGACTTGCAGAGAAATCACTTCGAATTTCACTTTGAATCAATCTATGTTTTGGATCTGTGTGTACAGAATACCTCTTGTCTTGTCCAGAATACTGTCAGAAATTGGGGGATTGCCTGGTTTGATCTTAGTCTTATTTGTCTGTGGTGTTAGACTTCAATAGCAGTTTCTAAGAGAAAACAAAACTCTAAACGCTCGTGGTTGAACTACGTTGCAAATAGTTGTATTAAATATTTCAATAAAATATAATATACATATTGTCTGTCTTTTGTCTTTTTTTTCAACGAAATGATGTCATTACTATTTTGCTTAAAATCAGTAATATATATTTGCACATCAGTCAAATAAAACTTACTGCTGTGCAAATATTTTGTGCATGACAGCAAATAGCAAGAGGGTCTGCTGTCTGTAGCTCAGAAATATATCCTACCTACTGATACAATCTATTCCACATACTGAGATTTCAGAAGACTTCCTTGGAAAACAACCAGCGAGTCACAACTTACACTTGTCCTTTCTTTCCGTGTATCTACCAGAAAGTTTCTTCTGAATATTTGTCATGTGCAACTTCTAAGCTAATATTTCTCTTAATTTGCTTTCAAATTAAACAAAAAACTACCTTGCATTGTATGGTTCCTTAGCAACCTTTCCATCTTTTTTAACTTGCAATCCTGTGTCTAGTGACTGTAGGCTTTTCAGGCTCAGAACAATACCTTTAATATTTTTCATTTAAGTTCCCTTAACCGATGGAGATGAAAAACAAACTGATCAAGTAACAGATACAGAGAACACCTCACAGAATGGTCATGTCTAGGAGCATGGCTACATTGCCCCAGGCAGAACTGCCTCTCTGCCATGGAACTGTCTCCAGATGAACACTCCTGGCATCTCAGGAGGCTGAGCTCACTCAGCACCACTCAGTTGGCTTGCCCATGCAATCTGTCTGTCCTGCATGGACTTCATATCTTCCTGACCCAACTCCACAGCTGCTGGAGCACGGCTGAAGAGGCCACCTGCTTGCCTGTAGCTGATGTTGGGACCACAGAGGTCTCAACAGAATATATGGGTCAATTTTGGGGTAACAGCTCTTCACAACTTAATTACCTTAGAGCCCTTAGTTTGCATTCCATGATACCTTTTATTTTGTCCTTTGGTTGTCTTTAACATCTTACACACTTCTCTGTCATTTCTTCCTTTGTGCCCTCTGAACTCTTCTGGTTTTCCTGTCTGCTTTTATTATCAACACAGATCTTTATTTACAGTAGTGTTCTTTAATCTCATTTTTTTATCATATGTTACAGAAACCACTCAGTCTGTATCTCCCAAACTCTTATTTATTTTCATTTCAGGTAGTTTTGAATGCAGCTATTACACTCTATTGCTATTATTATTGTCTAATATTTTTAGAAAAGTCTAACAGACTGGCTTTCATCATTTTAAGTTGTTGGCTGTTATTTAAGTCTTATGTTGGGTTTGGCTTCCCTCAAACTCACCAGTCATTTTTTCAAAATGCTTATCCAGTAGAAGTTCCCTGCTGGACCTCACCACTAGATGATACTTCACCACTTTCGTTTTATTGACACTTTGTTGGCTTGCCCATGTAATCTGTCTGTCCTGCATGGACTTCATATCT